CAAAGCATCAGCTTTGGGATACCCGGGTGTACCTTGATGAATGCTATGAACTTGGTATGGCTTTGGAGATCAGTTGGGAGAAAGTGACTGCCTGGTCAGAGGAGGAGTGGAGGTTATTATTTGGAGACCCAGTGATACAAGCTGAGGAGCCAGAGTTATATGAGGCAGGCAAGGACCAAGTATATGACAAGGTGTATGACATGAATGGGGAAGTGCAAGTACTACATTGGTGAATATAAAAAATAGGTGTCATAATGATGAAATAAATATCTTTGGTACAAATCTTTGAGGAAATAATAAATTTCTTTGTCCCAAATGCTGACCACACTGCTTCATTTGAGCATGCACCTGCTACTATTTGAGTGGCAAGGACTGAAAGAGCAATGAAACATCAGGTATCTCAAGTGTCCCATTTGAAATACCTGATGCACCCAAAAACCCATCTTCACCAATGGCTATTTTCTCGTGATCAAATACCGCCACCAGCCGTCAAGATCAAGAGACTGATGATTCCAACCAGATTGGTGAAACATAGCTTCCATTGAATATGTTTCATCCAGAAAAAGTGCTTGCATTGGGCTATGTTGTATGATGTAACAATACAGATTGGCTTTGGAACCTATCTAAATGAGAAACATGTTGTGATAATGTGTATTGTTGTGAAGAAGTGAGAGGTTACAACATTGTTAAGATTACGTAGATTAGTCAGCCATCACATGATGCCTTGTGATTTTAAGTAGGGACTTTGAGGTGAGTAACAAGCCACATCATTGTAAGGTGACATGATGCAAATCCGTTATCCCATGGTCCACAATTGGATGATCAGCAAAATCCCTGTGTGACTGACTGTGAGTCACTGGGACTTGCTTGATTTGACTTTGCAGTGATCAGAGTAGAGTAACCCACAACCAATCTGAAGCAACACGGATGGACACATGGATGGATGAGCATGCCCATTCTGTAGCTTGGACATCTAGTGAGTTGTTTAGTATCTTTGGAATCTAACACCACACTCTAACTATGTACCCTGTTATAAAGAAAACCGTGCATCATATATGGTGATTGCTTGTGTCCAGATGTCAGAGTCAAGAAAGTCTGTGAGATACCTACATATGGATGAAATCAAATAGGAGATTGAGTAAGTAGATACTTTGATACAATGAGAACTGTGACAAAGAAATTGTCTTCTCTTTGTCCCACGCAAGTGGGATACTGTGCAAGTCACCCACAGAAAACAGAAGATTTGATGCATGTTAGTTCAAAATTTATACGGTTGAGTTTGCATAAGGTTGCAAGAATTGAGGATGAATAATTTCATTCATGTTCCGATTTGTGGAGAACCAAGCATTGCTTGGCTTAATCAGACTACATGATAAAGAAATGCATGTATTTATGGAAGCCCTGAGCAAGGGGGGTACGCCATGTCTAAAGTCAAAACACCAATTGTAATTGACAGTGGGGTGTCCGCCACTTTACATATACACATAATACAACAAGGTACTGGCGGCCAGCCACCCTCTGAAATTGAGTGGCCTGCCACCCTCTAGCATTTGACCGGGACGGTATTTGGCTGGCAATAGGCCGTCACCTCTGCATCTCTTGGTCCTTAAGGTGAACCTGTTTGAGCTTGGGATGTCCTCTAGTGTACCTCTTTTGACGGCGCGGACGCGCCCGCACAAGTTCAGCTTACCTGTGCAAGTCCTGACTGCAGTCCACGCAATGCACATACGCACATACAACTGTGTCAGCGATTAGTTACCTTGCCTAGCCGCACTGCTACCCATTTGGAATGCACATGCCAGGCACTCAACATTTCCTACTGTCTGCCTCGAGTGAGCAACACACCAGTTTTACTGGCTGGCAGGACATTTCCTGAGCCAAGCCATCAGTCACCGCAATGTCCCAATAGTTCCTTCAACTCAGTATAAAGCAGATGCCTTTGTCAGCCTCCTGATCATACGGTCTGACACATTCCTGCCACTTATGCCTAAAAGTTCGGTGCTTTTTTGACCGCTTAGCGCTTGGCTTATCTCACACTGCAAGCGAGTGTTTCCGCATGCTCAACAGATAACATTCAACACGTCAGCAAATGGGTTCCCTGTGACTGAACTGCAATGCCATGACTGCCCTCACTGCCATCATGTTCCCGCTCCTGCTACCGCTCCTGTCATTGCACAGCAATCAAATACTTGGAACCCAATAGCTGGGAGCTCAACTCAAGTTATACACACCCTTGCCTTCTTGTACACACATTTTGAATCAAGCTTTCAACACTGGAGCGCAATCATGGTTCCATGCTTCACCTGGTTTCATTGCCTACAGATTCCACCAGCACATTTGTAGCTTTATCATCACAATGTGCCAAATGGATTATACATTTTTTATTTCCACCTACCATAGTCACAGCACTGCCAGTGCCAGTCAATCTAATCACATTTTCTACTGCTATCTGACCTGCTACACTTTCCCCCACTTTGGCACATAGTGAAAATGGTGCACAATTGATAGCAAATGAAAATGGTGCACAATTGATAGCAAAGATTGCATACATGTGAAGCAGGAAGCTTTAGAACATAATTAGCAAACAGAGAAGTTGGATAGAGGTGAGTCAACATACTATTGACCTGCTCCCCACAAAGCCTGAAGCAGACATGATGTGTGATTGCTTAAGTGGTATGCTCAAGTAGACACTATGGTACAGGCAGGTCAATGGTAACGACTTTACTGATGGTGATCAGTGCTCCACCACCCTCAAGTAATACTATTAAATACAGTTTTCCAGCTGAACATTAGCACCTGAAAATCCTAATCATGTACCAGGCTGGTTTTCATCCACAAGACTCCTTGGTCCCTCTTATTGCAGCAAAACACTTTCTTGATTTGTCTTAATTCAAGCTCTTCATGAGTTTTGCAAGTGGACCACACAGCAAGATTATATATGGTACAACACTTATCTGTCAAATTAACAGATAGGTATCTGTGCACCATGCTGACCAGACATACTTACCCTCAAACACGATTCATACCATACCAGTGTATATTTGTTGTTTGAAAGTATGACCCCTTTCCCAAATATCCAGATCAAACCTCTTCATCTGTATCAGACAGTGAGAGTGGGAATTTGGCTGACTTGAGTGGTAATCTTTCTGATTACATCACTCCATCCCAACTGTTGCATGTGAAATGCACGCCCTGTGGCAGTGGGGTTGCGCAACAGCGGGTGAGAGCTATGGCCCTGGGTGCTCAAAAGTTTTTCAAATGGATATGAAGGAATTGTAAGGGGTTTTTGAAATGACTCCTTTGGCTCACATCCCTTTGGCTATGTGTCAAGGAGTTTTCAGAAGAAATGAAGATGGGTTAGATTGGATAAAGCTTCACTTGGATTTAATGCATTTGATTCATGAGGTCCATTGCTTTCAAGACCAAATCAAGTTTCTCTTTTGACTTCTTGAGATCCAGTTGTTTACTTTCTGTATTCGTTACAAACCCTTTTTTAGCTTGCTCCTACTTCAGCTTCACTTAAATTTATTATTGGGAGAATTTTGGCTATCACTTATTTATTGTTAAGGTTTTGGTATTGGCAATTTTGTGAACTCCAAACCAGGTAGTTTTCAAGTTCTATCACCTCTGACAGGATCACTTCCATGACAGAAAACCAAATAGACCAGAAGCAAATCAGTTTCTAATCAATGGTGATAAACAAAAAATTGATTCCTTTGAAGATAGGTACAGAATTAAGTCAATGGATAAGTTACATTGTACTTTCAATTGGTGATTTGGAGGTTTTTCCTATTTTAATGTATCAATTATTCCGATGAATTTTCATGCAATTGTTGAATTTAAATGTTGATGAGCTGGTGAGCTGAGTCAAAAGCCACAATGGTATTTATACTGGATGAGGGGAGGGTGACAATCATGATATAGCATAAAGTATTCAATTACCAAATGCCTTAATCAAGAAGATATACTGATTCAGATGTAGGAGCCAATACTTTTTGTTCACAACAATAGATGATTGGTGAGAGAAAGGGAGTTAGGGAAACCTGCTTGTTCCGTTTGTCCTTGTGCCGCGCAACATCAGGTGAGGTGGGGTGTGTTGAGGGAGTAGAGAAGAGCAAAGGCAATAGTGCTATTAAATGGTCAGGCTTGGCTACAATGTGTCAATTGAGGATTGTTTGAGACAATGCAGTGATGAAAGAGGCCATCTAATCAAAAAAGAAATGAAATAATTAAAGCAGGTAAATGGAGATCACCATGGTAATTGAAGTGGGTGGATGCTGTTCACATGAAGTTCCTTGGTATTGATACACAGAAGGCAACAAAAGGTGAGCCTTTCTGTCCAAGAATCAAAAGAGTAGCACATGTAGGATTCACACGGCAACAGTTGTGAAAAGGAAGTACTCTTCAGTGAAGTTGTGATGGCAAATTTGCACTTAAATTGTGAAAAGGATCCTGCCACCAAGGCAGGGCGCTATATGCACATCATAGTGTTTTGGCTTTACAGGCTGGAGAACGAACAATAAGGTATTGGTTTTGTTTTCTGCAGGGCAGTCTGTTGGATCGCTTTTGGACAGTGCTTCAAGGATTGGATAGGCAAACAGATTGGCGTCCGAGCTCAAAAGGCATTGTCTCTTTGAACACAACCCACTCAAGCCCTGCATTCTGTTCATTGATGATGCTGGACACAATGGCACATACACTGTAAGCTCAAGGAATACAATGTCAACTGTCAGCTTTCCCAGCCTTGTAATCTCATTGACCCATGTCATGCTATTCTCCCAGTGACAGACCCAGTGTTTTTGTTGCTACACTGTCTATTTGCAGAAATTTCCAACAACAGGAGCACTCAAAGTAATTTATAAACACTGCATTGAGATTGCATCAGTCATGGTCAATTTGTGTGGGAATTGGGTTTTTATATGACATGTATGTGATGATAATAGTGCACAGGCCTGTAGGGGGAAGACAAGTGTGAGTGGGCAATCCCTGCCTGGTTCTGAATGGATTACCTGGTCAAAGACGCTTGGGGTTCTGTGTTTGCCAAAATTGATCGAAAGTTCCTGGGTGTGGCATTGCATGAAATCAATTGGAAAGTAAGCAGGTGATGCTGTTAATGTGTCAGGGTAATAGCGCTAAGGAGACGTAGAGGGGTGAGGGACCAATTTGGTTTGGCTGGGAGACATGTTAGAACAAGGGTTGGGAGCTGGTTGCAGAGGTGACTCGGTGAGTAGCATATGTAGTGTGTGGTTTGGAACGATTGAAGCGTGTGACATGGCCAAATTTATCAGCAGTTGCATCTCCACTTTTGAATGTCACACTTGGCTTGAAATCAAACAATCTCCAAAGCCAACAAGCTAGCTCTTCTCGTTCTCCCCGCTCTTGGGAAACACCAGATATATTAACCAAAATTGACAAACTTACTCCAAAATCCAACGGTGAGGCATCTCAAAGTCAAAAAGCTGGTACAATGATCCCTACTGCTGTCACCATTGGCCAAAAAAGAAAAACAACACAGCCTCATTAAAGCAACAAGTAGCCCGACAATCCCGAACTCACATCGGTCTCACCCATCAACTAATTGTGGTCTAAGGGGCATAAAACATTCAACAATACAATCAACAAACATTAAAAGTCATACCAATTGATTTTGTCTACCAGATTGATAGCGACCCAATGGCACACAATTTCAATGCTTACACTGTCTCAGTGGATCTTAGCATTGAATCATGGTATTCAGACTTGAATAAAGTTGCATATGAATTCTTCCGTATGAGTTCAGTAGATCAATTACCCAACAAAGTTCAATCAGATGATGGGTATCCTCAGATTCCGATCTTTGACAAGCAATGGGTCCATGTAGGTCACAATCTGACAAAAGAGGAATGTTATTTTTCTGTCAGAACAGCATGTTGCCAAGCTGTTGGAGCACCCACCACAGCAGGGTGCTTTTTTACTTGTGATGCTTAATGCCAATGTTTATCTTCCTCTCTACAATATATCTGAGAAGAAGAAAAAGTAACACTATGGTGGTGACTGGGAGGATGTAATGCTGTTAACATCATTACAAACTTAGAAGCATAATTACATGTATAAACATATTCAGACCTAACTCATTCTACTATATCTTTTCACTTTTCATCATGCACACTATTGGCTCTTCAGGGAATCTTGACTGATCTTGATTCAAATCCCTTGGAGCCAGATTATAAATAAAAATCTTATTTGGTATTAGAATCATTCGGAACCACTTTGTGGTATCCAGATCCCTCTGCTCACGTTCACGAGCGCCCGTAATTGCATTCAGGTGAAGGACTTTGAGAAGTTCCTTACAGAGGAATACTCTCCTTCTGACACAGGTTCTGAATCTTCAGATGGTAACACAACCTACCATATCGACTTTTGCAACTCAAAACGATTACAATTACAATCTCCCTCAGGAAGCTGTGATGTTTTGAAGTAACCTTCTTAAGTATCTGATGGTGGTGGTCTCCCGGATATTGATGATCTTTTTGGCAGTAATTCATCTTATTCATTTCATATCATAATTATGAAGCTGACTAAATATCATATTATACAGGCCCAAATATCACCCCAACACAATCGAAGAGGCCTATCAAAGAGATACCAAGTAAGTGGATGAAATCCCAATAGTTCATCAATTTATGGTGTTCAAATCTTGATATTTCTGGATATATACAAGACAAAACACTTCAAGATACCTCCGCTTCAGTCAATGTACCTGAAAATGTGAAGCACACTTGGGTGTCTGACATAGGAGGTAGGTCACTTTATATTCCCAGTAGTATCTATCACTGATTCAGTTTGTTGTCAGTTTCCAATCCTACATTGCAACCAATACATCTTGCAATTTCCACGTCTTTGAAGACTTCAGCTTTCTGCCCTCCCGGCAGTTGAATGTTGTATTTAGGAATGGAAAAAAGGTTGAGTATCATGCTGGAGTCAACGAAGTCTGATACTAATACTGCCTATGTGGCTGAAGAGTCAGAAATTGGATACATTTACATCAAAGACTTTGTAAAATTGAATGAAAATGACTCCTCCTATGTGGGCAAGGTGATGGTTGGGTGTGAAATATCACCCCCTCTTGAATCCACAGTACAGCAGCTCTACATTTGGTTCTTCAATTGATTATGATCCAAGTGATCCTAACTATAGGCTTTGTTTGAGTTTGGAGGTACAGAGGTTGATTGGGAGTTTTAAAAGAAAGGTGATTGGAAGCTTGGGATCTCACTCAATCTGAGAGAAAGGTGTCTTTCCCTCCAGGTAAGTCCTAAGAGTATATTTCATTGACATACTTCAACTAAGTATTTAAAGCTTTTGATCAATTGATGTGTATCAATTGCACGTAGGTTTCTAAAACTCTCACCTTGACAACAACTGATGAATGCAAGGGACATGCCAGGCTATTTTTATGTAGGGAACAAGGAGCTGGGGAATTGGAATCCTGCATGACTCCAACAGACTTCACACTGAAGAAACCATACAGAAATCAGCACCAAGTTATGCATGCTCTGGCCCATTCTGGTCTAGATGATCTCATTGGCCGGGATGATTGCAGTGTTGGAATCTCAGGGAGGCATAATCACTAATCTTACCATGCTTAATTCCACACAAGTACAGAGTTATAGCTAATTAAACCCTGCAGAACAATGGCATGCTGATGCTAAGTTTGATTAATTTGTTTCAAGTCAGCCCTTGGAGAGTGAAAACGGCAGGGAAGCAGGTATTCAAAAGTTCAAGGCTAGCCACCACTGTTCACCTCTTTGTGGGCTCCTTGGCCTTCACACACGTGATGTACAATACAGAGAGCAGGCAAGTGTTGAGGAGAATTAGTGTGTAATCTTCAAAACCTTCTACAGAGTATAGAAAATCAAACTGAATTTCAAAGTCATAATTGATGCTTTGTGAACAACATGAAATTGATACAAGTGATTTTATTCTTAATGGAGATATCATATCCTCTGAGAAAGATAGTAAATCAAGGTAACAAATAAATTGACGTAAAAAAAATTGAGATACAAGAGAAACCAGTAGAAAGTGTAAATATTTCAAGTTCACACTTACAAAGGACAATCAAGCAAGGAGATAAATACACTAGTATCCTATTTGCTTTGCTTCATTTTGTTGCGAATGTCTTTAGGATTGTGACATTTGGTCATAGCACTTGACCACCTTCTTCTTAAGCTCTTGCCAAACCTGATTGGTTTTGTTTTCTTTAAGCTTCAGACGCCCTTCAATTTGATTGTGCAATTGCTTGCTAATTTGAAGAGAAGTTCCAAAGCAAGTGTGTGAAGACCGAGGAGGAATTGACTCCCAAGCTTCATTGTAAGTTGTTGAGCAAGATGTATGATGTAATTGATTTGAAGCCCAGATGCTTTCTACAACTACATCACTAGAGTCAAAACAAAGCTCCACATGGTATTGATTGAGGGGGAAGCAGCAAACTACAATGTCACCTAGATAATGAAGCTACTGACACAACCGAATTCACCGGTGCCTCAACAATTTTGACAAAACGTGCGTAGGGGGAAGGTGATGCATTGCCATCTTGGTGCAAGCTGTTGTAAAAGTCATTGTGTGTGCAGACAACACTTGGGGAATCAGTCCATGCCTTGTTGGAGAAAGATGGGATGTTGTACTTCAGGGCAAGATCTTGATTAGATTGAAAGGCTCACATGCATAATGAACTCATTGATTCAGTAAGGATTTTATTTATAGCTGCCATATCATGAGTCATCCAATCTTGATCCTCAAGGAGTAAAGTTTCCCTCCTTCCTGTCTTTTGATTAACAGCAGTAGCACCTGTAAGGCCAATGATGAGATTGTCAAAATTCAAGTCACAATCTCATTTAAACTGATCTTGATAAATGGATTGACACTTACCAAAGGTTTGACCTTTATCACATCCTTGTCAAAAGCCAACAGAGCACATTTCACCGCAGTCTTTAGACCTTTCATCAATTGGTTGATCTTGATGTCGCCTTGAGCAAGAGTATGCTGATAGATGGTCTTAACAGCATATTCCATTTTGTGCTTTGTATCCACAATCATATAAGAGAAAGGTGTGAAATGATTGACTTGGAGAACTCCCCAAGTATCTTCATCTAATAAAACTGATGTACCAAAACAAATTTTGATGCAAGGGGTTGTGGGTATTTTGTCCTCATGGTACTTCTTTAGGAAGTATATCCGACAATTCTCTGGCACACCAAGAGTTTGGCTAAGTTCTTTGAGAGCTTCCAATTCATGGTTGCAATGTTCAGGATGGTGCCAGTGATTTGGTATTAACGGATTGCCTTTGTATTGAAGGCCTTTGTTTTTTCTTTCTTTTGAGAGTATTTTTTGTCGCTGGTGGATCTGTTTTTCTATTTACCTTTACCCATTGCCTTTAAAGAAGGTAGACTTAAATATGAATGAGAGAAGAAGCAAACAGCAAAGACAAGAGAACCAAAGATCTGATTCTGGAGAATAGCTGTGCCACTGAAATGAAGCATGACCACATTCAAAACTTTGAGTCTGTCATGTCCCACATTAGGACACAAGTCCACGATATTTTGAATCATAGTCTTGCTTCAGTTCACCCGCAAGTAGCTATCCCCCAGAGATGCATACAAGGCACAAAGAGCTTGAGAGAAGAGCATATTTCACACACTAAGGTTGTGCTTGGTAATCAAGCAAAGAGTCAAATTGATGATTATTGTGACTAGTATTGATGTAAAAGGATGACAGCACCTGTTTTTGAGATATTAATCAAAAGAAAACCAGGCACGGTCATCAACAGAAACTTGAAAGAAGATAGAGAGACTGTTCACTATGGGTCATATAGTTGTACAGCGGGTGATAAATCTATATATGAGCCTACTGTGTTGTGTCAAGCTTAGATCATTGAGCCATTTGACTGAATGTATATATACACCTCTCAATCAATATGTGTGAATGCTCAGATGAAATATATTGGGCTGCAGAAGATAAGATTGGAAAATCCTAATCAGTGAAGCCATACAATCAAAGGATTCATATGCTTGTTGGCTCCTCTGATCATTGAGCTCCCACAGAATTACATTCAATGACAAACCCTGTACTGAGAAAATGGTTCCAGAACCAGATTGATGAAATTCAAAGATGATTATAAGTTATCTTGAAGGCTTTGGTTTCAAAACTTCCACAGAGGTTGATATGGGCCATAACATTGCAGCACTTATGATCCTTGATTGAGACAAAGTTTGGGGGAAGTATCCTCTCCAACCCTCCACTTATTTCAAGCTGCTACAAGAAGAATAATTCTTAAGCAGAAGTAAAAATGATAATGTCAATGATCTTACAGCACTGCAGGTGATTGCTGCAAAAAAGTAATCACTGTATGCAGTTGTCATCATCTTTATGATGGAAATCAATCAATATAGTCAATTTTTCATTTTTTTTCCAGAACATAATAATTTGGAACTTGGAGTGGAAAGCACATCACTCTCACTATTAGTCTTATTAGATTTGAGCCACTGTGTC